GACAGATTCGATTTATATGGAGATCTTTGTCTGAAGATTATGCTGTAAAATTAGTAGAAAGTATGCCTCGGAGATTCCAGTCAATTATTGATAATGGAGGCGACTGGACAACTTATTAATAATAAAGCATCGCAGTCTATATCATGCATAATGTGTACAAATTTTTTAAATTTATGTATTATCCTAAGTTTTTGAGTTTTGCCGTACACGCTCTTATCAAACATACTGTATATATATATATATATATAAACAAAAAAGAATTTCTACAATTTGAAAAAACTAAACAAAAAAGATCATAATATAGTTTATCTTTTTTTTAATTAGATCCGCGAATGACATATGTAACCAGACGAGTAATATTGGCTATACGAGAACAACGAGAACAGGATAAGAACGGTCAAGAACAACAATCAGAACAACAAGAACAACAAGAAAAACGAGAAACGGAACACATTTCAGGTAAATTAAATATTTTACAAATGCATAAATTTACTTTAGCTAATGTGTAGCTAAAAAGAAAATAGCTATTGTTACTATGTTTTTAGCAGAACAACCCAAAAAGCTGGCCGAAGAACGCAGTTATATACCCATCCTTAGTAAGTTCGACATTCTATAAAATGTTTAAGTCTATTTACCTTCGTTATCCTGTCATAATATTGATTACTGTTTTATTTTCTAGAGCGACCACTGGACGTATTATTTGCCGACGATAATTGGCCTCAATTTAGTAAGCTGAGCTTTTTATAAAACGCTTAAGTCCCCAGGCAGTAACGAAACGTGATTTTCACGTCAGTTTTTGGTCATTCGTGACGTCAATTATTCTTTTATAATCACATAATAATGACTTGAAAATGACCGGAATAAGTCACAGCCCACCGACGCAGTGGGCCAGGAGACCAGTAAAACTGGCCAAAATTAATATCTTGTAGAATATGTAAACATATGTAACATCGTTACACTTATATAAGGTTTACGGCATCGTTTACTTCATTTCTGATGTCAAAATTTCGAAATTCAAAATGGCGGATTCAATATGGCGGACCAAAATACGAAAAGTGACTTGATTTGGGTGAAATTCGATATTCGGGATTCGAAATTCGTTTTTGGGATCGCTAAATCTGAATCTGATATCATATTTTTAAAATTCAAGATGGCGGATGCAATATGTTGGGCCAAATGCAAATAGTGACTTTATTTGAGTAAAACTCGATAGTTGAAAATTTTTGAGGTCACTGAATACGAATTTAAATTCAGAAATTCAGAATATTCAGAGTAGCGAAATATGGCGAAAGACCAAAAAAGCCAGCCAGTTTGAATATTTTAATTTTGAATTGGGATTCGAATGTAGTGACTCTGAATACCTACCAACACAAATTTTTACAACGATCAGAACACTTTTAGCATTTCTATCCATTTCTATCCATTTTGAATTCGACATTTTGAATTTCTAAATTCTATGTTCAGATTCAAATATAACGACCCCGAAAATCTATCAGTACCAAGATGTACAATGATCAGAGCACTTTTAACATTTCTGTCCGCCATTTTGGACCCGCCATTTTGAATTTCTTAATCCTAAGTTTGGATTCAAACTCAGCGATCTCAAAAACTTACAGGTACGAAATTTCACGACGATGGGAGCACTTTTAATTTTTAATCATTTTCTTAGATCTGTTGATCCATTGTGCACAGACATGAAGCGTGTATACAGTATCTCGCGAATATCTTCATAAATTATAAATGATGGCAGCTGGTGACAGCTGATCTTATAAAAGACATACAAACAAACCTCACGGTATTTCAAAGGTAAAAATACGCGACGCAACTTTGCACAACTTTTGTTGCAAAGAATGACATTGCGGTAAATTCAGAAACATAAGTATATAATGTTCCACCGTTTTGTCTGTTTTGTATTTTTTCCCGTTATTATAACAATTTATCTAAGTATAATGATAGATAAGAAGCAGTTGCAGATTCTTTATTTGCTGCAATACAACGATACTAATAAAATATTGAAAGGAAATACATAAGTATAGTAGTGACAAGGTCATTTCTACAGCATTTATCTCCCAAGATGGCACATATACGCGGATCATTTTTGCACAAACTAAAAAGGAGACTTTAAGTTGTAGAGTAGATAAAGCCAAGGTGGTACCGCGTAGAACTGTTTTTGTAGATCAAAAAATGTGTGAAGAGAGAGTGCAAAGTTCGTTACTCGATTAATAGTCTAGAAAATAGTAACAAATTATATTTTCCTTTCTGGTTAATAATTGTTATGGATAGCTAAAGAGCCATTATAAATGATGTTATAATTATTCTTTCTTTCATATAACTATTTTACACAATACAAACTTCCATATAGACGTTGCGCAGAAAGAAGAAAATAGGATATTTTAAATTGTCCATGTTCAAGGCACTGTGAAATAAAAAAACAGCAAAATAGACGAACAATTCTGCCAGAATACATTGAACTAATCATTATACTAACATAGTTATGTTTAGCCTATGTAAAATTTCGTTTTTTATATTTTTGGCCAGCTTTACCGGGTCGCTGGCCCACTGTGCGACGTCATAATAAAACATGAAAATGACGTCATAAAGAGATGTAAAAATGACGTGTCGAAATATTCTTATTTAGTTCTATTTTCTAACAGAAAATATTTGTAAATGTCATCAGCGTTTGCTGATTTTACTTGAAAATTTTAGATTATTTTATTCCAATGTTACATTACATTTAAAAATTCTCACTGACACTAGGACTCGAACTTGGACCATGAGACATCTCTGGATTATGAGTCTGTTGTTTTAAACACTACACCACTTCTTCGGTCGATATAAACGTCATTTTGTATGCGTTGTACTTGACATAGTGTAATATAATTTTTTGATAATATGATTTAATAAAATAATTTAATTTTAATAAAAATTATATTTTTCGTATTTTTATTGTTAATTTAAACTCTAGCTCTCTCTAATGAGGTAAGGTCTACAAAATCCCGCACATTCCATTTTGTTATCTTTAAATTTTTATAGTAAACATTTTTTTATTGTTAACTGTTATTAAACAGACAAAGTAATAAAAGACTATAAACTTTAAGTAATTATAAAAGAGTATAATTTAATAAAAGAAAAAATCCACCTTACGATATAAGATTTAATTAAATTAATTAAGCTTTAATTAAATTAATTAAATTTATGTATATATATATATATATATATAAATTAACCCAGATAGCTAACTATCTGTGAGAATTCTCTATGAACTTCTATTCATCTCTATGCTATCTGGGTCAACATTTCCTCATTAACACATCTTTGAACATCATCCTACTAATTGGATCATTGCAACGATGCAATGCTTGTGAATAAGAAATGGTAAAACAAGTTCTATAAGGCTTATTCCTAGGAGTCAAATGCTTGAGATGCAAACACATAAAAAATAAATAACAACGTGTGTAAATAATAATCTGTTGATTACCACATTTGATATAAATGAACATTAAATAAATATCTGTCACATTTTTTGCTTATCGAACAGCTGAATAAAAATAACCTCTCAAAAACGTATTATAGATGTCTTTAATTGACATTATTATTACATCAAAATAATCACGTCTTTTAAACGTCAGTTATTGGTTACATGTCTTCTGGTACCCAGGTAGCACAAAAATGAACAGAAGTTCCTAGAGAATTAATTTTAAAGAATATATATATATAACTAAAAAAATAAATACCTGAAGAATTCTTAAAGAATTAACCAAGTTCGTCTTGAAATATTCTTTAAGATTTCATTATAGTAAATACTTCGCGACTTAATTCCTAGAACACTTTGAGAATTCGTGAGGAATTAGAGCTAAGGCAGAGAACGAGACGTAAGCGTCGTAATCGTAAACGTAAAGTAAGGCAGAGAAAAACGTAAACGTACGGCTAATAGTCTTTCATGACTTATGTTTACGTTTTTCTTTGTCTTATTTTACGTCTACGACTACGACGCTTACGTCTCGTTCTCTGCCTTAACCCTTACAAATGTTTTGTTTATAGCAACTACTTTTTGCGCCTATATTCAGTATGCCAATGAATGTATAATAATTGATTTACATATTTACATATAAATTGTTTAATTTATTGTTATTCACAGTTATTTATATTTTGTGGAATTAATTATATAGTTTTATATAATAGGACAAAGAAAAGGAATTGGTATTAAAATAGTTTTTCATATATAAAATGTTCACTTGTATCAAAAATAAATAGATTTATGCGAAATACAGTATGTTTGATAAGAGCGTGTACGGCAAAACTCAAAAACTTAGGATAATACATAAATTTAAAAAATTTGTACACATTATGCATGATATAGACTGCGATGCTTTATTATTAATAAGTTGTCCAGTCGCCTCCATTATCAATAATTGACTGGCATCTCCGAGGCATACTTTCTACTAATTTTACAGCATAATCTTCAGACAAAGATCTCCATATAAATC